TCAGAAACGCTTAGTACGAACGGACGCGAAAATCAGAACCCAGTTTGGCGACTCGAGAATTTTTTATTCTGACACCATCATATAACCAATATTACAACTAAGGTTTCTGACGGTTTTCTCCTGACTTCTTTCTGAACAGCGACCGATGAGACGATGACTGGTGCATTGCTGCCTCCGCGAAAATTGGGGAAGTTGGTTTTGAGCAAACAACCATGAATTGATCGTTCAATCTTCAACTCCATTGACACTCCCCGGCAAAAAAGGGATCCAACCCTTTTTTCCATCACGACCAATACACGTTGACTCGGATGCCATTGCGAGAACCTGGGTCACACGGACAGAGCTGAAATGGAAAACAAACAGAAAAGCCAACACACCACAAGCATACCCACAGCACAATCTCACACATCAATGACGACCTACACCTTCCAGTTAAAGGCATCCTCTTGACATCTTGCAACACAATCGCCACTTGCTAGAATGACTCTTGCAGAATGCAACGTGACCATAGCAGCACCTCACGATACTCTACGCACATCCTCTTATTTACTCACCGCAGCCAACAATTATCTCCGTGTGCATTTCATTCTCAGCAATAGCCTAGCCTCCCCGGCGTATACGACCCATCTGCTGTCTCTAACATCAATCAATTCATTCACGGATGTAGAAGACTCGAAACAACTTCAGAAGTAATCACGACGAAAATTTTAACAAAATTATGCAATAACAACAAGGTACGAAAACAACGAGTGAACACAATTAATCCAAAATCACAAATTGATATGACACACCACACATATATACAAACAGTACCAATAACCTCGCGGATCATATCTTGGTGGAATTCCTTTGAAGAATTGCAGGACTTACACCAGTACGCCTACAACCCTTCTCAGGCTGACGATTGTAAGTTTTAGAATGTCCGAACACAAACAAGATTAACCAACAATTACAATAATTGGAACTCACACAATTATTTAACACAAACATATGTAGAATCAATACATCAAATGTTTTGGATTCCGGCATGAAAAGCTACCCTTGAAGAACTGTAGGACTTACAGCAGTACCCCTACATTCCTTCTCAGGTTGATGATCCAAGTGGAAGTCGCCCGGACACAAACAGAATTACCAACAGCTAGATGACAGATGATATCAATTGAGTATATACAATATCAACATATGCACTAAATCACACACCAAGCACGTTGGACTGCTCATTGATGCGCTACCCTTTGAAGAATTGTAGGCTTTACAACAGTACGCCTACAACCCTTCTCAGGTTGACGCTCTAGGTTGGAAAATCGTCGCAGAGTTCATTTGCTAACTTCCTTCAATCAGCTATATCCTCAAATGTGAACGGCAACACACTCATGTCATTGTATCGTAAAATATAGATGACGAACAAACACACGACGTATCTGGTCAACCAAGTGTAGGCACAGAGTAATTTACACCAAAGATAATAACATTCAAATAGTAACTTGAAACTAGAAATGCCTTTATTCATGCAAGTCAACTTAACGATTACTCTCTCGTTTACACTTGGCTTATCCTCACTAAACTGAGCAATATCTTTCGTCTTTTCAAACGCACCAATACTATCATAGTCGTTGCATAAGGCACGTGAGTTCATGGACGTCCATTTCATTGTGGATGACAACACCAACGACGACTGAGTGACACAAGTTGATGAACTTAGCTGTGGATCAGAAGCTGTTGTTGTTCGGCTTTCAGAAATTTGTCTATCTGCAAGATTACCACCACTGCTGTCTTTTACTATCAGCTCAGGTTTAGCACTAGCATCTGATGATAGGTGGGCTACACACTGATCAATTACACCAACGGTCTTACAAGTATCCATAACTTCTGCAACTGCATCTGCATTTAATTCTACTTCACGTTCAATTTGTACAGAACCCTTGTTCAACTTAGCAGTAGTTGGCATTCCCTCCATTTCATCATGATCAACCAAAGACAAATCTGCACTATCATGATCATTATCACAAATATTCAATTTACCATCATCTATCTGGTCGACTTCATCAATTTCAAACTCTTTATTAACAGAAGTAGACAATTTTGGTTCCTTCTCACAAATCCCCAAAGATTTTATACCTTCACTCTGACTAGTAATACCTTGTAAACTTGTGGAGTGAGAACTGTCCTCTGAGACTGTAACTCTCTTCTGTGGCATTCTATTCAACAATGGCTTACTAGTTGCAACTACAGGCTTCTTCACCGCGCTATTATCCTCACACAATTCGGAGTCAGACCTTGATTTCCCACATAGCTTATCACTTAACTTTCTCACTGATTCACAGTTCATCATTGTATGAACTTCTTGCGAACGTGTAAAACACAACCGTGTTTGTCTTGCATCTTGTAACTTATCTGTTGACGATGTACCACGAAAGCTGTTACACTCACTTAGTCTATATGCATTACTAGGCACCATGGAGCCTCCTTGATATCCACCTCTCTGAGACCCTTTCATCATCAATGCTTGCGTTTTACCCTCAGACTGCTCTATTCTAGGGGCGGGTTGCAATATACTGGCAAACTTGCTCATAGATTGATTGACACTATCTTTCACCAGTTTCAGAAAGTCATCAACTTAGGCTCAATACCTTCATCCTCTATACGTCATCTTATCTGCACCCACTTCCTTTGCAGTCGAGTAGGTGTGCGTCTTGCTATTACTTCTAGTATAAAACTCGAGTTGAGGTCGCTCATGCAATTAATCGAAATCAATGCACTCTTGTAAGTCAGCAGATTATCCAAAAACTCAGGGAGTGTCTTGGAGTCATCTTGTAGTTGACTACCGTTACCTTTGACAGCTTCGAATACGTTCCTTACAATCATCGAAGGTCTTCTAAACCTTTGACGTAGTATGCTCATAGCCTCAGCGTATCCCTCATTAGGGGGCATGAACTTACAGTATTGTGTAGCTCTTGAAGCAACTCCAGTGCAGTACCTCATCAAATACATCAATTTTAATTCATTACTTAATAAAAGACTACTCAGCATGATATCAAACTCCTTTACAAACTGTAAATAATCAGCTGGGTTTCCATCAAAACACCGTGGTTCTAATTTAGGGAGTTTGATGTTCCTATTATCCCTGAACGGCGAAACAGTAACATCGACCATGTCATGCTTAACATCAGACACATCGTTACAATTAACAGACAAGTCACCATGACTTACTTTCCTGTTTGCATCCAAGACGCTCTATCCCTTCTCTGACCCAGGCATTGTTGAACTTGACCCAATTCCAAAAAAGTTCCAGATATTGCTTGTTCAAAGAGGACTTGACCGGCACCAGGAAAGATGAACGGTGACTATCCAAACTGTCATCGACTTTCTGAGTCCGTCAGAATCTGTTTCCACCGTCAGAAACTGTAAGCCACGTCTCGTAAACCATCAATGCCCAGCTCTTGCTACACTGGGACACACGCTGTTCATCGAAGCTCCTCAGAAACGCTTAGTACGAACGGACGCGAAAATCAGAACCCAGTTTGGCGACTCGAGAATTTTTTATTCTGACACCATCATATAACCAATATTACAACTAAGGTTTCTGACGGTTTTCTCCTGACTTCTTTCTGAACAGCGACCGATGAGACGATGACTGGTGCATTGCTGCCTCCGCGAAAATTGGGGAAGTTGGTTTTGAGCAAACAACCATGAATTGATCGTTCAATCTTCAACTATATTGACAAGTGGTCTGAGCCAACGTCTGCTCCTCTCCTTACTTTTGTATCCAGTAGGCTGCGCCTCCACTTCCTTGAGATTGTGATGAAGCCAGTTTGGTTTTTGGTTCTCCCATCTGGTGAGACCCATTTAGCCTTGTGGATATCTTTGGGTTTGTATACGCTGCCACCAATCACTAGTTCGTTGAAGGCGTTGAAGTCGGCGAAGAGTTCTCCGTTTTCATTCATTTCTCCGAGAGCTTCTCTACCCATAATGAGTTCCCTTCCTGTGTTGTCTGGTCCCAGTTTGGCGTTCATGTCCCCCATTAGTATTTCAATGTCGCCAGCTGGAGTATTGTTCATTGTTGCCTGTAGTTGTCTGTAGAATTTTTCTTTCTTTTCGAGGTCTGCGTTGTTTGTCGGTGCATAACATTGTATAATTGACACTTTCCTTCCTTTGGAGTTGAATCTGGCGGTCATTATCCTGAACGAGATCACCTCCTATTGCATCAGGGCCTTCGTTGCCGTTGGTGACATCATGATAGCCACGCCCTCGGTGTGAGTGTGGTTATCTTCTGGGTGACAGGAGTAGATCACTGACTCACCCGTTGATGAACTGGGTCAATCTGAAAAGCGTTAGGAGTGAGAAGACCCTAAAAGATCTGAACTTCACGGCTGATTTATGTTTATTGCTTCACGAACTCTGATACCAATTAGCGAAAATTAACGTGTAGACAGAGGTGTCAGCGAAAAATGGATTTCATGTGATCGTAGAGCAGACAGAGGATCAGGACACCCAGGCAACAACAACAAGCACCGATCATCATCAGTGGCAGAAACGCCAATATAATCGTATTATTTCACTTATCTGAGTGGCATTATTTTAACTACAGATGGCATGAATAATGATACCAGGTTCAATCAGGATACGGAAAACGAGAGGTGACTAGGTCAGTGAATACGTTTTTTCCAGTAGCTGCTAGTGATATCCCACTTGGTTAAGCCTTTTAGCAAGATTTTAATTACCGAGAATAACGTCGAATTCCTAATATCTACGATCTCAATTCTAAATACTCTGAACTGAATATAACTTTGAATCATCTAAATTCTTGAGGTCATATGTATAGAACCTCTGGCGCTCGCTTGGTTTTTTCGGAATGTAGGCGATTATCTAAGTTGATGGCATCTCATCTTGGTGAACCAAGAGTTTACTATGAGGTTTAAACATTTCAGCACCTTATAAAAATCATTTAGTCTCCTGATTACGTCCGATTCTCTAGTAATAAGCCTAATTTGGATAGAAAGATGAACTTATCGAGTCCAACAAATGGTAAGTATTTATGCTTAGTTTGTGATAATGTATTACTTAAAGATGACCGCAAAAAACTACTTGATAGTTCTGATTGTGCACAAATGGTCCGTTTGTGTTCAGAACTGCATTTGCAAGTAGGATTGTTTATTTATTTAAATTGCCCACTTTGTTAGTGCAGAACATACCTTGCAATTATTCGTGCCAGCAGTCCTTCAGATGATGATTTTTATGAAAATGCGCAATCAGAAACGGATGTTGTGTACACTTTAAAGAAACTTCATACATTACTGGAATCTGGCTTTTCTGCGCGAATCAAGTACCTGTACTCCATCGCTAGCGACTATGATTTTGGCTCATTGCGGGCTAATGGGATTCGGAGTTTCTTGATTATCACAATGAGATGTTGTGCTGTATTGTTAACATATCTTCGACAGATGAGTTCGTACTCTATCTCCAAGTGGTAAGTAAAGATTAACACTGTAGTTTCAGTTAGGTGTGTCAATCATTATCATTTTTCATGCGGAAATAGACTTGAGACTTTTCAGTGTATTTTTCAATGCAGCTGATGTAAATTAATCATCACCTTTTCCTATCTACCTCATATATTTGCACATTTATGGGGTTCATTAGGAAACTTCAAGAGCACAATAAGGCGTGGTGTGAATTAATAGTAGTTTTCTGGATTTTTATAGGAATAGAAACATTGTTTAATAGCAACCTCAATCATTAGCTGATAGTTCTTTTAACAGGATAAAAACGCCGAAAATAGTGTCAATAATTAAATGTGTGGAAGTGCCTTAACTTGTAGTACTTAAAGTGATAAGCAATATTTTGCCTAATTATACCGAGGCTAAGCATACTGTGTATATTTTGGTGATTCAATTATTGGTCACACATGGCAGCATGTGGTTTTTATAGATTAATTCGTAATATTCTTTGATGTTATAAAACTTTTTGATTTATTTTATCTCGCGAGTGATACCATTCAGCAATTATGTATACTGTTGTGCAGTTATTTTTCAGTCACGTGCCATGGCTAATAATTTTATATAGCTCGCAACTCATGTGTCTGGCCTAAATAACCATAATCACATTTGTGCGTAGCAAATCTTTATATTTCATTCCATACCATTAATAAAGTTAAGAAGTACTTCATTTTACCAATTGTATTAAATTCTGGTAATAGTTCTCTCGCAAAATCTTATAAGCAAATGCGTCATTTTGAGGAACCTAAATTTTACAGTGAAAGGTATCACTCCCTTGTGATTACATCAAGAACACCTAAAGGCACGTTTAGTTCAGTGTTTCGAATCTGTGTATGTAGTAAGGATTTGAACTACTAAATATAAGAAGGTATTAAAGAGCTGGTAAGAGCTAATGTTTTCTCTCAGCTAAAGAACAGAGAAGCGGTTAGAAATTTTTGTTCCTAAGTGACAATCTAATTCAGCATAATCTGTGACACCGCTTAGAATTACTATTGTAGTATGAAATATCTTTTTCTTCACGGTTGTAACTGAGAATACTGCAAGCGATCATCCTTTCTTTTTTCAATCTTTCAGGTCTGGTATTACCCATCGAAGTGTTATATCCTATGTCAATTGCTTGATAGAGCTCAATGTGTGTCTTGAAGTTTTGAGTAATTCACCACGCTTTGCTAATCCATTGTGTTTATTCCCTCGCTCTGAATTTGTTGATTTACCAGAGATTGGACATTGTGATACAAAACGTATTATAAGAAATCCATTAACTGTGATCCAAACTGCCAATGCAAAGTTCGATTCAAAACAATACTTGGAGGATTTATCAGAGTTTTATCGATTAGAAACTCTGTCAGATAATATAAAACAGGAATATTTCTACGGTCGTTGTTTAGCTTTTTACTTGTGCCCAAGTGCTCAAAGGATTTTACAATTTTTGAATTCTTTAATGGCTGGATATGGGAACAGTTTTTTGGTAAGTTCACGCATTGGTTGTGTATAAAGTCCTAAATCGAGTCATTAGTTTTCCATATAGATTTGCTAAGGTGTTAAGCATGCATACTGAGAATTTTAGCATCATTGCATTAGAGTGTTCAGCATGTAATTTGCTTCATACATATTTTGAGTACATATACTCCCTGCTTCGTTAGCTTCCTACAAATGTACTTATCATTTCTTTGTTTCATTTCTCTGTGGCTTTCTCCCTAGATATATTTTAACATAAGGCCTGATAATTTGTGTAGGCCCGATTTTGTGCAAAGTTTTATTATTATTGTTTCCTTTAATTCCTAGAGGAACATAGGGCTTCAGCCGCGCGTCTCTATTGCGTTCGGTCCTCTGCCGACGTTTTCACCCCGCTCCAAGTCTGCCCACATGCTTTCATCTCTTCACATCATCTCCTCCAAGTCATCCTTGCATTGACGACCAGCTCGTCGCTTCCCTTTCGGGTTCCACTCGAGCGATGGCTTGTCTAGTGATGTCACTTAATGGTTTCCTCAGAGTATGGCCAATCCACCTCCATTTCTTCCTGCTTATTTGTCGCACAATCGGTTTCTGCCGTGTTGTTTCGCTCCAAGAGATCCCTCCCTATTGCTGATCTCTTCTGGCCGGCCATCTGATCTTGAGTATTGAGCAAAAGCAGCTGTTAATGAAGGTCTGTAGTTTGTTTGAGGTGCTTTTTATGACGCTCAGTGCAAGTCTCTGATCCGTATAGTGAGTAGCACTGACTTCACATTGGAGTTGAAAATCCGGATGTTATTTTTGATTCTGAGTGCTGTTGACCTCCACACAGACTTGAGAGTAATGAAAGCTTGTCTTGCTTTTCCGATTCTGGCTTTGATATCCTCGTCAGTTCCGCCTGGCTGTAGTTGAGACGATGCTTCCCAGGTGGATAGGTAAAGGTTTTTTCCTTCAGGTTCCTCCCATTTATGTTGGCTGATTGTTGTCGTTGTTGCTGTTGGTGTTGGCCAGGAATCTTCATCACCTACATCTGTCTTCTCTATGTTCACCTAAAGTCCTATCTTTGATGCTTCTTCTGCCAACTTGTTGCTTTTCACTTCCATAACTTCCAGTTTGTGGGAAATCAGACATATATCATCACAGACGAAGTCCAGATCCTCCAAGTGATTTGTAAAAGTGGATCCATTTTATGGCCGTTTCCTCATTTTCCGCTAACTGTCTGTCGCATTATCCAATCTGCTGCAATCAGGAAGATCATTAGCGATAGTAGACAGTCTTGCCTTACTCCCGTCCTTACTTCGAAGGCTTCCGTAAGTTTCCCGTTGTGGATTACTTGGCATGCAGCATTGTCGTATAACTGTTGGATGAGATGTATAATTGTCGATGACACCCCGTAGTAGCGAAGTAGTTTCCAAATCACCTCTCGATCGACGCTGTCGAAGTTTTATGATATTCCAATTACTTCATGAATAATCTTTGGCAGTACCTCTGATTAGCTTAATCAACTTTACAATTAATTCTGCGAATTCTTAACATATATAGACCAGCTGTCAAATTTGAAATGGCAAAATGATATATAACCAAACTTAAAATCTGGGATACAATTATTAAGCATTATTCTAGGGTTTAATTTAATTTAGTTTATAAACAGAATAATGATAATTGTGGTGCTCCCAAGAAGGAAAGCGTCCTAATGAATTGCGAGAAAAAAATCACCAATCTAAGCTAGGGTGAAAATCCACAAATGGACGCATTAGTATAATATAATGGCTAGAGGATGTTAATACTGAGCCGTGTAGGGTTTAACTGCGAAGCTCTCGTTAATACAATATCCACATGTCTATTAATTGCAAATTGATTTGATGAGTATTTGACATCTAGGGATTCTGTAGAGTTCTTTGTGTTCTCTTTCTAAGATTTTTAAACTGTCCCAGTTGAACTGAACTGTATGGAAACTCTGATTTGGCATTATCTTTGATGATCCGGATCTTGTTCCTTATGTTGAGTAGTGTAGCAGGTTTATACATTGACGGTAAATTAGTGAATGTCTGACATGCTTTTCCGATCCTAGTTGACATTCTTATCAGTGCCACCTGTAGTTAAGACGATGCTGCCTTGGTGAGGTAATTGAAAGAAATGACGTTATTATTGGAAGTCAGGTATCTTCATCACCTCTGTCTTTTCTGTGTCCACTCGAAGTCCTGTCTTCGCTGCCTCTTCGGCCAACTTGTTGACAAGTTTGTGTGGCATCAGATATAAATTAATCCTAAAAGTCCAGGTCTTCTAGGATCTTTTGTAGCTCTGTTGCATGATCCAGTTCACTGTAATCAAGAATATCATCGGTAATGGTAGGCAGCTGTGTCTTACTCCTGTATTCACGTAAAATTCTCATTTGAGCTTTCCGTTGTGAATTACTTGGCACGTGGTATCGTCACTATAAGGTTTTTATAGATGTTCGCAGCATTACACTCCATCGTTTTGAAGAAGTTTCCTCTCTAGTTCACGGCTGGCACTCCTAAAGGTCTTTTGAAATTCGATGAAATTGAGGCACAGAGTTAAACGTATACTGGCATTTGAAAGACACGTAATAAATTCTCTCATATTGGTTCACGTTAAAAAACTAAATACGTCAGATCAACTGGATTTAAAAATCTTAGACAGAGAGGAACGCCGGAGAATCCCTAGACATTTGGTACTCATCAACTCAATTTGCAGTTAATACACGTGAACATAGATTAAGTTTATCAATAAATAAAAAAAGGTCATATGACTAAGATGTCAAATATAAGGTCAACGAGAAGTTCGATAACAGTAGAAGTGTAACAACAGAAGGCAAGGACCAGGCAACAGATCGTTTATTAACGAAATCAACACATATTTATAGATTTTCATGTACATTATTACAGATTATCGGTAGCAGACAAACACAGCCCTCTGATTGGTTGTTTCTCACTGAAAGTTAATCTTTCATCTCTTCGTGTCTGTTTCTTGAATGTCAGATCATCTATATGCTAACTGTATCCTCCTACGCGAACAAAGTCTGCTGTGGTTGGTTGTTGAATCAGTCTTTGTTCATATTTTTCTCACGACCAATATTGAGGACATAAACATTGACGTAAATTACTGTCTATCAATTCGGCTAGCAGCCAGCTCTCACCACAGAAGTAGATACAACCATATGGCCCCATATTTCACTCCGAACACAAAGGAATAATAATGTTCATGGATGCAAAGATAAAGGAGACGTTCGTTTTGAACAGTATATTGGTTTCCACAGTTGATGCAGTCTGTTTTTATCGATGACATCGGTTTTTACCTTCTTTCGATGTTAGGTCATTTGGTTTAAGTAATGTTGATATAAGGAAATCGTGCTGGTTCGTGAACACCAGCTCTTCCAAAATTTTGGAAACCATCTGGCTCGGAAAACATAGTAACATCAAAAGTATCCACCTATGTTACAAACCTTCTGCACTACTTCAAAATCCTAATGATATAGTGTATTCCAGGAAATTTTGTGCATTATTATTTCACACCGTGTTCTTCACAAAAATGAAACGGCGAATGCGAACCTCTGACACCTAGAATCTGACTTGTGCCACGCACTGGTTTGCCTAGGGTAGCTGGAAGACGCTGATTTCAAACTTATGATGCACATGGGCTGCAGAATGCGGACGGATTGCACGAAGTATTATCTTGTTTCGGACACCGAAAACCGTAGAAATCCAATTTTTGAAGCTGCTCCACTACCTTGTGGATTAAGTCAAAGGCTGGGGATTTACCCCTGGGCATCCGGACGATATCCGAACCCTGGCACAAACCTTGAGATTTTGTGTGGCGCATCACGTGGTACTCATAATGTGCCAAGTTTTTATTTCAATAAATATCAATAATACCACTTAAAATATCTTAAAAATTGGGAATTGTGATTAACATACGTCATATTTTGTTTAACTTTTCTTTCAGACCAGCAAACAGGGTATAGCAAGCTTAGTGAATACAGTTTATCGATCTGTCACATCGTATTTATCTCCAGAGGATCGTGGTAAGATGTTGGCAAAGCTCACACGGAACTCCAGTGTACAATTCTGTAAAATGTTTTGGAGTCTGGCAGAACTACGCGTCGTATCTGAAGGTCCCAATGTCATTTTACCGTCTATGGCTGTGGCTCATTCTTTCAAAATTCAAACAATACCATTAAAAATGCTTTCAAATAATCAAAAGAAGGAAATGAACAAGGTATGTACACTTAGAAAAATAATAAGAGAAATCTGGATTGATTTTAAAACTGATCACATGCTGAGTAGAATTATCTCCAAGTAAGGGTCGAAAACATATGGGTTAATGTGTCTAAAAATAAGCTACTAGCTGGTGACGCTAACCTGTCTAACTTAAACCTCTATTGGCCCGGAGTAAGTTTCAAGGTCCTAACTCCCAGCCCCCCCACCCTCACTCTATGGCAGTTGTATGCCTAGTCCAATGAAGCAAAGTTCTAAGTTAGCTTTCAATGCAGATTTTAAGTAATTTAGAAATTTATCGAAAAAGGTTTTCGTAATGCTAAGAACCATTAGCTGGAGACTACTAGTGATATGGGTCAAAATTTATCTCAATAGGGCGAATGCATTCACTCCTTCCTTTGTAATCCTCTACATCCTGTAAACTGTCATCTCCCCCCCCTCCCCACCACCCCGCACATTACCATTCCTTGGCTTGCACATTTCTCCTTTTCATAGGTCTTTTAAATACCTTTTTCTCTCTGTCATTTGTCTGTCTTTGTGGGCTATATGGAGTGTGGTTACATGCATTTCTGAACTTCTGTACAAATTCTATGTTGAAACCCAGCCAGTCATGTTAGGTTTAAAGTTTTCAATTATTAATGTAAAGGAATTTGATTGGTATCAGGTTGAATCAGGAACGGACATCAGTTAGAGAACCACTGAAAATCAAGGGGGACTGGATGGATAACTGTTTTTAGTGTGGGACTTTTCACTCATCACCCACTAGAGTTTGTACCTTGGGACGTTTAGCTTGTGAGGTGAGACCGTTGACCACTCAACCATTGAGATGAGGATCCAGTGACCCATGATCTCTTTCTGTTTTTAATTCTTTCATGTTCCCAGTGGAACATAGGGCTACTTCAAGCTAGAGACTTGAAGTTTCAGTAGCAGTGGCGTTAGTTATTGTTACGGGTGGGTCTATTATTCTCACGCCTTTAACTTTCATTCGTTTTGTGGGCCTACTACCGACTATGTTGAGGTTCAGGAGTGCTTTGGTGACCGGAAATCTGGTCTGGACCCATCGCGGGGCTGGCAAACATTCTAGCATTCAACTACTGACATACAATAAACTTCTGTGCGTTGCTTAAAGAAATATTCAAGGATTTTATGCATTGATGATTTGTCTTGATCCTTCCATCTGTAACTGATTTCCAGCCTAATCTTATATCGACTAACATCGCTTGACCATAGAAGGCGATGGCTTGGGAGTTAAACCCAAACTTAATTAGAAAGAAGCTTTTTCGGTTAAAGGATCAATCCTGTGGAGCCTTTAAAACAAAACAATTTAGTTTATCTAATACCCCGCCTGCAATGATTGTCAGGTCAAATACATAGATCACTGTAGTAGAACAGGGTCAGTCAGACTAGTCGAACATAAAAACCTAGCAAAATCTAGATTGGTTGACCCAAATAAGATAAGAAATCTAGAGAATAGTTCAGCTATAGCACTACATGCAGTTACACACAACCATACAATAGGATGGGTGGGATAGGATGACAGTTTTAAAATCTAATGTACCAGCAGGGTGGAGGGAGAAGTTAATAACAGAAGCTTTGTTTATCGAATCAACTGAAGAGTGTACGTGTGATAGGAATGATTCAACACCTGTTCCAGAAATCTGGAAAATTCTGCTACCCCAAGGATGGCAAATAGAAGAGGACAAAGAAAACTATAGAGCTCAAGTTTCGAAGTCGAGTGATTATAATTGATGAAATGATTATGAACAATAAATTGTGTTTTTGAAACACTGTCATCCAGTAAATAATACTGTGTTTCACTGTGTGATATATCTAATAAACAAACTAATATGGAATTACTTACTACCACAGTAACTAAGTTGTACACATATATTAATCTGCCTCGTAAGATTGTCATTACATTATCATTATAGCCTTGGGTTTCGGAGTCTGTCTGTTTTCGATATAGAACTTTGCACAAATGTGCACCAGTTCAAGTCGTCACACTCCGTGTAGCACGCGAAGCAAGAGAAGAAAGTACAAGAAAAGCATAATAGAGACGATAAGCAGAGGTGTGAGACAAAGGAGTAATAACGGAGAACGAAACAGTTTCATTAGAAATCATAAGTCACAATGGAGTGGATGCACCTGCGCCACTGAGAACGATTTTGAGCCATGTCACCAATTGTTTCCAACCATAGATTTTTACCGTCCCGAGGACCCCAGTCAGGAAGTCTACGCCTTCCTACGTGGCTTAGACCAACTGTTGTGGATTTCATTGACTGGTGCCAAGTTTTTGTTTGACCGCCACTAGCTTTTTTCCAGCCTGACCCTATATCCGCTAACATTTCTCGTCGAGGAAGGCGATGGCTAGGCATACGTAACACATGTCCTAACCATCTCAGTCTTTGTAGCTTCACGACTTCGTCGATTGATTTCCCCTGTTTACTTAGAACTCTACGCCTAACCTCCATGTTGCTCACCTTGTTATGCCACTTTACACGGGAAATAGAGCGCAGGCACCTATGATCAAAGACAGCTAATCTTTTCATGTCTTCCACTCTCAATGGCCAGGTCTCACAGCCATAAAGGAGGACGGAGTGGACTGATGAGCAGTACACCCGCCCTTTGGTCGATAGTCGAACATCTCGTCTACGCCAGAGTCGGCGTAAACTGGCAAATGCGAAACGAGCCCCCTGTATTCGTGCTCGGAGTGGTGGAACACATGACTTTAGCAGTGTACATCACTTCACTCTGTTCTCTGCAGTCTGTTTCTCTAGCTGGCTCAACAACTACCCATAGGCTTTCATTTTCTCCTTTTATAATTTCATCCATGTCACCCTTCGATGCTTAACTCGTCTTTTCCCGTCTGTGTTCCACTGATGACCTGGCTCGTGGGGTGGTCACTCAACGGTCTCCCCAACGTTTGTCCTAGTCATATCCACTTCTTTTGGCATATTTATTGGCCAACAGGTTCTTAGTTGATTCGTTGGCAGAGTTCCTTGTCACTGATCCTTTCCAGTTGGTAGTCGGCTCCTCAGAATAGAGCGAAGGTCAGCATTAATGAAGGTCGGCAGCTGACTGTTGGAAATAGTTTTCATGACTATCTCCAAGCCACTAACTTGACGATGTGTCGAAAATGTGAATCTTTCTTATGTTAAGTGCAGTGGATTTCTGCACTGATTAATTAAGAGTAACGAAAGTTTGCCTTGCTTTACCGAACCTGGTCTGGCTTCGAAATCCCTCATCTGTGCCCCGAATTTAGGTGAATATAGGTGCCATCTATGTTGGGTCAGTGATAAAAAGAAAAACTCATAATAATTCCTCACTGGACTGTCAGAGATATCCTATAAGGAATTTCCAGTGACACATGTTTTCCGTTTTTCTGGAAACTCGGTGGAAATAAATTTCCTTTTCTTCAAACGTCCTTGAAACTTCTAGGATTGAAGAATATTAAAAATAAAATACACTCTCATATATATATATATATATATATATAAAGAATATTTCATGTGGAAGCTCATTAACCTATAAAAATGATCCCTATTAAATTGACCTCTTCTTCTACTGTAATATTGGAATCAATGACTGTCACACACAAAAAAGTAAATCAACCGTGTCAAAAACACAGCACAGAGTGAACGGCCTAGTGCCTGACATAAACTGACTTTCTCACTTTTCAGTGAAGAACTTTGTACATAAGTGTACCAGTCCAACTGGTCACATTGCATATAGCACACAAAGAAGATATTTGAAAGAGATAAAATGAATGGGGGAATATACAGGAGAGAGAGAATAATCACATGGAGTAATTATAATAAGAGAACTTTATGGGAATCTCAAAGATTACAGAAGGTGAGTGCATCTGCGCCATTGAGAGAGAAATGTTTTGAGCCATGCCACCTACAGTTTTCAGCCATTCGGATCTTAGCACCCCGAGGACTCCAACCACTTGGTCTACATCCCCTCCGCCTATATGACTCAAAGCAACAGTCAAAGACTTGATGGATTATATAGGGTGGTTGGAGGCAATCGACAGGAAGCCTTGCTTGACATAAGTTTCGTGCTAGTTGGCACTCACCAGTCAGTCAGTAAGGTGTATCTGCAACCTTGAGGGAACTCATGTCCCTTCTGAGATTCAAACCCGTGTCACCCAGTGACACCTGCAGTCAGGGACGTTACCACTGAGCTATTCGGGCTCGCTATTGACCTCCTGTAGGACTCTAGTGGATGTTTTGATTTGACACTAGTAACTAGTGTGATGTGTCTAGTCCTTTCTTTGTTTGGTGCAGACTGAATTCCATCAGTCAGGTTTGTAATGTGGCCACCATTCTAGGTAGCTCGCCATCACGGTGCACATTGATTTGATGATATTAGATGGTTGGAGTCAATCGGTAGGAAGTCTTGCTTGACCTTGGTAACGTCTCCGACTGCAGCTGTTACTGGGTGACGCGGGTTCGAATCTCAGAAGGGACGTGAGTTCCTTCAAGTTGGTTGCAGATACGCCTTGCTGACTGGTGAGTGCCAACTAGCACGAAACCTAGGTCCAAGACTTCCTTCCGATTGCTTCCAACCACCTAATATCATCAAATCAATGTGCACCGTGATGGCGAGCTACCTAGAATGGTGGCCACACTGCAAACCTGACTGATAAAATTCAGTCTGCACCAAACAAAGAAAGGACTAGACACACTACACTAGTTACTAGTGTCCAATCAAAAATACTTGATAGATTGTTGTCAAGTTTGGAATTGACCACTTGTAACTCTTATACTATATACTACTGATTGGTTGAAATGAGTAGTAGTTGTACATCACTCACGTCAATCAACCGGTTGTACTTCACAGCGAAACAGATCAAAGCGATCTAGACACCGGATGGTCGTTTCGCCCGTTTAGTGCTGAACCTATCAGTGGCATACCCGGTTCAACTCAGCTCAAAGAGTCGAATCAAGTTAAACCACACGATTTCTGGCTAGCTACATGAGCCTAACGTGTTTCAAATTTAATCCTATGTAGGTGTTAACTAACATTACTCAACGTGGAAGGCAACGACTTGACATGCGTAGTATGTTTCTCTCAATCATCTCGTTCGATATACCTGGCCTGATAGAATACAACACCGGATGTCAGCAAAAATAGAAATTCGATTAGTCGAAAGTGGGCGACACAGTGATAAAATAAGTTAACCATCAAGATCTTACGGACATGTGATGTTGTCGTCGCATTGGCGCTTAGACACTTAACTTCCGATCACCGGATTGCAGGTTTGAACCAAGGTTTTGGTGGGCAGGTAAGTAGTAGCATCACTAGCCCGCAAATAACCGGTGTAGGTCATTGCCAGCTGCTTTGAAATACAAGTAGTCGTTGAGTAACATTTTTCCTCGCCTTTTTACATGAACATGTGTAAATTATAGAAGTTGTAGGGAATTAGTGGAGGTATGTATTCGCCGGCTCCTATTAAATGTAAAATGCTGTAGGACTGGTCTGTACTGACTCCTAGTTTAAAGAGAAGAAATGAATGAAGTGGTAGAGTGTACTGACGACTTAAGTCATTCGGAAAGTTCCATCAGCTCCAATGGACTGATTACTGACGGAATCTCAGCATGGATATAAAAGGCTCGCATGGGATTCGCCAACTTACTCCATCTCTGGTGTAAACATGATATTCGGCTTTCAGTCGAAGGACATATGTACTGAGTAGCAGTTCACTCTGTCCATTGAAAGTGGGAGATATGAGAAAGGTAACTGTCATTGATCACAAATGTTTGCATTGTATCTTCGCGTAAAGTGTGTTAGCGGTTAGGACGCTCGCCGACCATGCACATGGTCCGGGGTCGATCCCCAGCCGACGCACACCTGACACCAGTGGTTGGCCTGCTAAATTTGGGCTACCGATATCACATGCTAAAAATTTCATAGTTGTATCAAAAATACTGTGTGAAGTCAAGCTACAATAAAAAAAATAAATATAGTATGATGAATAATAATGAGGTTAGGGGTTGAGGCAACGAAGTCAGTCTATGCGGTTGTAAAGCTACGCCGAATAAGATGGATAGGACACTTGTTATGCATGCCAAGCCGCCGCCTTCCCTGACTAGCGACGGTAGCTGACACGGGGTTGATTTGGATTACAGTTATGTAATTTTCAACATGTGATATCGATAGCCCGGATTTTGCAGGCCGACCATAGATATCAGGTGTGCATCGGCAGGGGATCGAACCCCGGACCATGTGCATGGTCGGTCGGCGAGAGTCATAACCGCTGTGCTACTGACTCATCAAGTTGGGAGATATAAACTACTTGTTTGTGGACCTCAGGATGCTAAGAATCAATGGCTGGCGACAACTCCTGGTGATATGGTTCAAAATCGTTCTCAATCGTTGATGCGCAAATGCACTCACTCTAGCGATCTCTCATTTCCTTTCCCCAACACGTTACACTGGCTGGAACCAATGCTCCTGCAGGTCTACTATGCCAAGAACGTTGTCAGGATTGTGGTTAAACTAAAAGCAGTTACCGGCATAGTGTAAAAATTTTTCTTACACTATGCTGGGGGTCTGTGGACGAAGTCGTACTGCTGGGGAACAGGGGTGTAACAGCAGTGAGGTGTTTCCCTCAGATGACTAGCATGGTAGCCAGTTACACTGTCTCTCCACTCTGGAGAGAGGGGTTAGAAAAGGTCGACCCCAAAAATTGTACATCCCGACTTACCCTATGGTGGTCCGTAACCGGCGGTAAGTTTACGAACACGGAAGCAAACCAAGTAACTAGTTCGTACAGGTCGTGTGTGACCGGCCTCAAGCAGTTGTCCCCTGGGCTCTGTGGTCACGCAACACTAACCCTCTCTCTCTGTTTCAGGTACCCGAAGAATCAGGCAACTTCCACGGTGTGGGCAGCCGGGAAGTAACAACTGCCCACACACTTCCAAAAGCACAAGAAGCCTTCCTGAGCATCATTTTCCTCTGAGATTTTCATTACTCTTCTCTTGTCTTCTTTTCTGTTGTTGTTTTCTTTTAGAATTTGTTGACATAGAAACGCCTAAATCACATATCGGTATAACACCATTACAAATGCGTGTATTGTGTCGTCATCTTAGACCTGGTTTAGAATGGACACGTGGCAATGAATTACCCAACTTCTTGTATTCACAATCCCGTGAGCATAATAAAACACAAGATTATTGTCATCCACGATCGAATTCAGTCCAGTTGCCTAACTTTGGGTTATTTTCACCAAGAAATTCTTTGAATACATCTTCGTTAGCAGCATCGAAAATATCAACTCCTTCTAGCTATCGTCGACGTTTTTCATATGCTAATTTTAGAGGATTAAATTCTACAGGGAATGAGGATAGTTCATCATCATCATCATCAAGTGTTAAAAGATCTCCATATTTATTGTTCTATATACACGGTGGTGGATTTATTGCATTGAATTCTCAATCACAAGATGTAAGTGAATGCTAATTTTATATATATTCATATTTAACATTTATTTATAGCGCTAAAATTTGTATCTACACTAAATAGTTTGTGTAAGAGCCGCCTCCCTCCATAAACGAGTTGGTACAGCTGAAGGTGGTGGCTAGCCTTCAGTCTTCCTCTCTAGATGCTCTGTCTCATGTGATATCTGTGTGATATCTGGCTATCGACCAAAGGGTGTGTGTACTGCTCATCAGTCTGCTCCGTCCTCCTTTATGGCTGTGAGACCTGGCCATTGAGAGTGGTAGACATCAAAAAATTAGCTGTCTTTGTTCATAGGTGCCTGCGTTCTATCTCCCGTTTGAAGTGGTATAATAAAGCGAGCAATATTAAGGTTAGGCTTCAGTTGAGTTCTAGGTAAGGAGGGGAAATCAATCGACGGGGATGTGAAATTACATCGATTGAGATGGTTAGGACATGTGTTACGTATGCCTAGTCATCGCCTTCCTTGACAACGGCAATGTTAGCTGACATAGGGTCAGTCAGGCTGGAAAAGAGCTAGCGGTGGTCAAACCAAAACATGGCTTCACCAATCAAGGAAATCCACAAAGTTAGTTTAAGCCAACCAGCCACGTAGGAAGGTGTAGACTTCGTGACTGGTTGGTTGGGGTCCTCGGGACGATAAAAACCGATGGTTGGAAACAATTGGTGATATGGCTGAAAATCGTTCTGAATGGCTGGTGCAGATGCATCCACTCCTTGGGACTTCTGATTTCCAATGAAACTATATTGTTCTTCGTTATTACTATTCCTTTGTCTCAAACCTCTGTCTACTGCCTTTATTATTCATTGTTTCGGTGGCACAGTGGTTAGGACTCTCGCCGACCATACACATGGTGCGGGGTTCGATTCCCTGCCTGGTATCAGTGGTCGGCCTGCGAAATTTGGGCTACCGATATCACATGCTGAAAATCCCATACTTCTACTAAAAAGTACTGTGTGGAATCAAGCTGTAATAAAATTATAAAAAAAAATTTATACTTTCTTCTTTTGCTTTGTGTGATACATGGAGTCTGGTGACTTGAACTTCCGCACATTTGTGCAAAGTTCTATGTCGAAAACAGACAGACATAGCTTCTGTCAGGCAATTCTAGTTCACTACTGTCTTCCCGGGGCGGTTGTTACTCACAAAAGTGAGAGGGTCAATGCGAATGTCTGACGCTTACAACAGGGACTAGTAGACATGCAGGTCTACCTAGGAGAGGAGCTGGAGAAGCCTGATTCCAAATATACGGTGTACAAGGGCTCTCGAATACCGAAGCATTGGATGGTGTATGGATCTGTTTGGTCACCGGCCATCATGCGAACTCTGTTCCTCTGCACTGTGAATCAGTCAAGGGCTTGGGATGGGTGGCTCCTTAAGACTAACCAAACATCCATTTCAGTTTGGAAATATGGGAAACGTCTGAGCCGCCGTCATTTAGAGAATGATTAAAAAAATGTCAGGAAGTACTGGATAGCTGTTTCTTCCTACTTTTGGGACTCTTCAGCAGTACACACCCCTGATCCCACATTGGATTGAACTCGAGATCTTTAGATTACAATGCTAGTCAGTTGACTGTCCAATAAGTTAGAATTCAATGACTTAGGACTGCTAACTTCTGTCAATGCATGCATCCAATATAGCACCACCGTCAACCAATGCTATCAACGAGCATCCTCTTCACTCTGACATGGTTAGGCATGATGTAAGACTATAGGGCTGCAGTACAATTTTTGAAGTCTTTCAAGTATTCGGATGTTACTAGCTGAGATACATTTGAAGAATCCTATTATCCCAGTCGTCAGCTTTGTAAGGAGAGATCAGAATGCACATTCTGTTCTAAAATTTAGAACAATTATTCTTTTTCATAAATTTGGGTAACGTTATTAGAAGACGGAGATTATCTGAAAATATATGTGATGTATTTGTGCTATACATTTCGAACAATTTGATCACACATTTACTTGCCAAGTCGATGATTATGGTTCAATGAGACGATCAATCTTCAGAAAGCCCACTTAGACAGGGTAGTAACTTAATTTTCCCATTTTCTGTCCATTACAGTATAAGAGAGGCTTGGTGAAATGTCTATTTGAGAGGATTCAACGTATTTGTACGGCTGATACTATAGACAAAGAAAACGAAATATTGATGGATACTCTCGTTGAAAATGGATATCCTTAAAAATTTCTAAACAGGTATAGAAGTCAATTAGTCTCTCAACCTACAATCTATACTGCCCCTAAGAAAAATGTCTTCATCAAATTACCACCATGTAACGGGGAAATAAACAGTAGGATTTTGAGACAAAGGTTGAATTCGATCATCCGTAGAACCTATTATGCAGCTCAGCTTGTAATTGTCAAAAAGGCTAAAAATATGCTCCACTGCAAACCTCAAAAGTGCATAAGTGCTTATATCACATTCCACATTATTTACCAATTTTCATGTGTGTGTGTGTGGACACACATACACAGGGATGAGTAATCGCGCTTTGCATGTGAGAGTAGGAGAGCATATCCCAAAATGGCTAGAAAAACAAATGAATTGTGAAAAACCCATAGATGCAGGTGTCAGACTACCAGCTTTGTTTATAGCTAAACACCTAATCGAGATGAACCATAAGATTGATGTTAACACAGCCTTTAAGGTCATCTATGAAAACGATCAGGCGCGCTTATTGAAATACGCCGAGACTATAGCTACTCATGGCCCCTCCCTGTGTATTCAAAAACAGTTTATTTTTCCTATTAAGCTACCTTGGTAATCCTTATTTGATTGGATTACCAAACGTTGTGTTAATTATTCTTAATTCTTTTTTGTCACTTTGTTTAATCAACTTTTCCATATATATATCGACTTGACAAGTAAATGTGTGAGGGATCAGATTGTTCGAAATGTATAGCGCAAATACATCACATATGTTTTCAGATAATCTGCGTCTTCCAATAACGCTATCCACATTCTGTTCTATTTGGGAAGACTCATCTGGGTGTGCTGTACTTGTATCCAACGCAGCAGGTGACTGTGTTTTCCCACTGAAAGTCAAACTTAACACACTGATCTTTTTAAACATAGAAGTGTTATCCTCTGGGTGACATGAGACATCTTTTGTACAACAGATATTGGCTGTTATTTGTGTTCAATTCTCTGGGATTGGAGGCACTTACAGTTATAACGAGTCTTGGATTCCAGTGCTAGCCACCGTTAACGAAATTACATCATGTTAACGAAAATACATCGTTGAAAAGTCCGTACTTGTTGTTGTCGACATACCAACAGATACGGATAATTTTCGTTCAAGGATATGAACCAAATTCGCAATTTTTAGTAATTACACAGTTTGAGGTGGAATTTCATTACAGTTTTTACTTCAGAACCCGAAATTATTCAGATCACAGAATATTCAATCTGCTTGATACCATAAGTGAAAATCAAGAAAGAAAGCGCAAATACACCGTGCTACCTACTGCTGAGATTAATTAATGAATAGTTCGAACTGATTTGACTCTTTGTTAAGTTCAACTGGGTACATTGATGATAAGTTCAACTACAAACTATGGGATAGGCCATCGGGTGTTTAAATCACTTTCATCTGCCTGACTGGCAAGTGCTACCAGTTCACATGAGTGGTATTCAACTACTCATGTCAATCAGTCAGTCAGTCAATCAATGGAATGCACAAGATATGCGGTTTTAGTGTGACCGCCAGCCACTGTCATCGGTGATTATTTGTCCCTCACACCCCCTACCTGTGATCGACCTCACTGGTCATGACTTCTTTCACCAGCCATCATGCTATAATAACGAAGTGACAGAGGTAAGTGTTCCGGCTCAAATTGCTGTTAAAATGGTCGGCAGGCTTAGTAGTCTATTAATATACAAGGTTTCCGGTTCGATCCCTGATAGAAGGGAATCGTGGGTGCTTATTGTTGAAGAGTCTCAAGCCAGGGCAAAAGACAACTAGCTGTCCACTGCTCCATGTTTTTCAATAGTTCTCTAACAGTTTGTGATTGAGCTTGAAAGAAGTCAAATGCATACAGACTAGCTCTTGAAAATACAAACTAACTTAAACACTGGAAGGTATAAGCTACGCTTGTGTATTTAACAAGCTGTGTTTAATGAGATAATTTTTGTAATTATTTTCTATATGTCGTGTTTATGTAAGTATATGAATAATAATAATAATTTGTTTTATTCCAGAAACAGTACTAGTGGTACAGTGTGGAATTTTCAGCACATATCTACAATATTGCATCTAATTTCATTACACATTTAGAAGTATTTCAAAAATAAATATAAAAACAACAACAAAAAATGCAAAAAATACCAAGAAGTAGAAAGGAAAATAAACAACAATGATAAATAATATCTCAGCATTTAGGTAGTGGAAACTATGATACGGTTATGCGTGGTGAAGAGTAACAGCTATAATCATACAAGAAGTTATGAAAATGATATTTTAGAATGTTTGTAGCCAAGATGATCAGTTAATTTGATTGAACAACACTAAACAATCATAAAGGACCATTGGATCGGGTCCCAGTGGCTCAATGGTCTACGAGCTCGCCTTGTAACCAGAAGGTCCTGGGTTCGAATCCCGGTGGGTGCGTACTGCTGAGGAGTCCCAAACTAGGACGAAACAGCTGTCCAGTACTCCCAGTTGGTTTTCCAGTGGTTCTCTAACTGATGTCAGCTCATGATTAAATCCTCCATGCAATCAATCATAAAATAAACATTTCAGGTTTTTTTTTAATTGTCAGCTTTGATGCGGTGTTTGTAGTGATAGTATGAGTAATCCTGCATAATACAAAAATTTTAGGATGGTAATAATGGTGGTTTTAGACCATTTTTGGTACGTATTCAAATGCTTTTCTACTAATATGTATATTCATTTCCCCCTCTCGTTCTTCTTCTTATTATTATTGTAGAATTTCCTACGTATATGGGCTGAACAATTAGACTGTCCAATTCTAGCGGTTGACTATTCCCTTGCACCTGAAGCGCCTTATCCTCGTGCATTAGAAGATTGTTATTATGCTTATTGTTGGGTTGCGTTGAATCGTGAACATTTTGGCTGTACACCGGATGCACGTATTGTTCTTGGCGGTGATTCAGCTGGTGGTAATCTAGCCTTAGGTGTATGTATGCGTGCCTTGCACGACGGTATACTTGACAGTCCTGCTGGCTTATTTTTAGCCTATACACCTGTATTAGTGTCTCTTACACCATCACCATCGAGATTATTATCTTTGTGTGATCCTTTACTACCGATTGGAGTGCTTTCTAAGTGTTTATTAGGTAAGTGTCAGCGTGTTATTGGATATATTTTAAAAATTCTTTTGGAATAGACCAGAGGGACATACTTTGTATTGTGGGTTTGTTGTTTATTGCCTGAATTCTTGCCAAGTATCCACGTTGTCTAGGTTCTAGTGCCGGCTACCGACGTACTCCTAAACCTCAACTGTTTTACCAGCCCCGGTAGTGAGTCCGGAAAAGGGGGAAGGTTGGATAAGAAACACAGCCACATTACCGCTACTGTAACTTCAGGAAACTTGGATATCACTGGTTGTATACCCTCATCACTGTCCCAGAGGGTATTTTTGGTGGTGGCGTAGATCTGCATCTCGGAGAAAGACTTTTCAGCCTGTAGAGTATGTACACGATATTGTTTAACTGTGCAATAAAATACAGGCTGCCTAAATCTCATTTAACAACCAGTTGGCGATCAGTATCTGTAATTATGGTGTGTGCTTTGCGGTATCTCACTGCTAACTATTATTGCAGGATTAGCAGGAGCCTGTACCTACACTCACTCACTCTGGCAGGTGAACCGCTTGAAGTTGTCGATAAGTTTGTGTATTTAGGTAGTTGTGTGAATGCTGGCGGAGGAGATATGAGGGATGAGACCAGTAACCATATAGTAAAAGCCATGGTGGTATGCGCCAACCTGGACCACCTGTGGTTCCCTAGGATATTAGTGTGGTTGTCAAAAGTCAGGTTTAAATTGCTTCAGTGAGCGTAGCTTCGCTCTACATCTGTGAAACTTAGCTTCTCCGAGCTATGGATGTGCAGTGACTCTGGATGTTCAATCACCTCTGTCTGCGTAGAAATCCGTGCATCTGATGATATAATGATGTGAGTATTTCTGAGGTCAGGAAGCATGTGTTTCAACCCTGTAGAGATTGTCTTCCATTAAGCGTTGTCATCCTGTGATACCGGCTTTGATATGTGGTACTGATGGCTTCCACACCGCTGGTCGTTTGCTAACTCTGGGACTGATGGGTGTTCAAAACAAACGGACGGATGGTCAGGCTATGATTTAGCACCGTGGAATAAAGGATAGTCGTGTTGCGTTAGCGTCAATAGATGTGTACACCATGACACTCTGAGTAGAGTCAGGGAGAGATAGTTCTAGTCAGTGACTGACCGGGAGACGTTATCAAATGTGAGAGAGAATAGTCATTAATGGTCAACATGCTTCAGTTTCTTCGTTTTTTCCCCTTCTGAATGGTCTTGACAAATGCCTTTATATCATTTTATTTATTTATTTTTAAACCAATTTTCTACCGTAATCCATTTCTCTTCCTTTTTTTCTTTACTGTTTGTAGCCTACGCTGGGGTTGATGAAGCCACTTTAAATCTTGAAGACACTTCTTCTTGTTCTTGTCTTGATGCCAAAATTGTTGACAATTCAACAAATCTTGAAAGTAAAGAAAACTCACCAAACAACAGTCCATTATGGTCACGTTTAGCCTCTAGACTATGGTATGGTGGTACATCTAAAGGCGAAGAAGAAGAAGTTGTTGACATAGACTCAGGCATTAATACGAATAAATCCCCTCGTTTACACAGATCTTCAAATGCTGCTAAAGTACACTTTCGAAATCACAGAGATCATTCTATACCGTGTAGTCGATCGTTGTTGAGTCAACGATCTCATTCGTTAACACCACTGACCAATCCTAACACTTATCGTAAACTTTCAAAGTTGAACGAATCAGGTGAGTATGTCTTCCTTTTTACTTAATTATTTATTTCTCATTTTAAATTTAAATATTCTGTAGTTTCAAAAATTTATTCCCCTTTAATGAATTTGATTTGAGCAAGCGGATTAAGATGATACAATCACTGTTTAATTTCGTTGGCTTATATCTCATCAACTGCCGCTTACAGCCTAAAGAAATTATTATTAAGTCTATGTACACAACAGCCTTAACATTCTCGCACATTTTACATGATGTCCACTGATAGGAGGCTCCAAACTCAATACTTACAAAAAATTACACTTATGTAGTAATAATTTGCTTTATTCCAAAATAGTACTTGTGATACAGAATGGAATTCTCAGCATTTCACTACATACAGTATTGCATCCAGTTAGTACATTATCAATAAATAAAATTCTGCATAGATTATGCGTAATCTCAGTTAGTTTTGACAACAACATTTTGGCATATCTGTAACAAAGCCAAAAGTGAACAGAGGGTTTGATGAAGGTGTTAGAAAAGTAGATACTACTAGCATATTTACTGCCTTAAGTGGTAACAAAAAGGCCGAGATATACAGAGTGTGAAAGAACGAAGGAGAATGTTTTGCATAGAGTTTGTAAGGAAGAAAGAAACAAAGCAGCACATAACAGAGAAAAAGAGAGAGAGAAAAGGAAAAGAAGAAAGAAAGAAAACGTTGTACCTATAAATGATATGAGTTGGAAAGAAGAGATCCAGTTGTTCTACAGACTATTTAATAAGTTTTAAGTTTCACGCTTGATGCTTTCTTTATCGCACACAACACGAGCTAAGTAGGGTTTGGTTGAGTTTTTGTACTTGCTAGTGCGAGCCTATAGTTTTCTATATAGGCTTCTGGTCTGGTCTGGCTTGATGAGATACAAGGGGAGAGTTGTGAATGAAGAGGGTGGTGTGAGTTAGATAGAATTGATTTAGCCCATTTTTCACATGAGTCGAAGTGCCTGTCGACCAGAATATTAACAAGCTGGTTGAGTGGCATGCTGCTCAGCGTGCTGACAACCTTCAGCATCCTACGTAATAAGATATATACATTGTTCTCCATTATTCTTCCCTGGGCTACTCAAGAAAGGCCATATAATACTACGAAGAACATTGAAGGCTATAAGTAGGGTCAGTGCTATCCCTTTGACTCAACTAAATGACACTGTTGTCAATAGGCATATGAATTCTTGTAAACACTTAGCCAAAGTTATCTGATAGTGAACATCCTCTTTATTCACAATTGTTTCCTTGTATCTCTTCAGGTAAGACTAAAAGAAATTTCATAAACATTTATGCTCGTACTACAAAATATAAAACTTCTACCAATTCACGACACAAATTATACATTTATATAATTATAAACAGAGCTAAACCATTGCAATATGAAAATTCCATGCCGTAAATTGTTATTGTTGTGGAATAAAGTGATTATTATTATTATTATTATTATTATTATTATTATTATTATTATTATTATTATTATAGTCCTTCTTCAGTAGTCCTGGAAAAACTAAGGTAGAGGGGGACAATAGAGAATAACAGGCGGGATGCAAGAGTTAACGAATCGTAAGAGTTAGGGTTGAGTCATTCCAGAATGTCTTAACTTCTTGATGTAGAAGGTAAGACGGGATATTTTTTTCGAAATCGTCAAGATATGAGACGACCAGGAACGATCAGCAGATAGAATGACGCCTAGATATGTGATTTCCGACTTGGTGTGTATTTCAGTGTCATCTATGTTGCACACCTCGTGTGAGTGCTAACCAGTTTGTTTAGGTCAGACTCGTGCCTATGCGGTTTCCACTCAGAGAGTTCAAGTGTAAACAAAAATGCATGTTTGCACACAACAGTTACAGAATTAAGTAATATGGACAAGTTGTAAGATGATGGTGAGTAAGTAATAAATTGAGTAAGAACAGTGTTGTGAGTTCAACTCATGCCACAGAAACAAGAGACAAGCAAAGTAACACTGTAGCAATAATAGGGAGAGGTTAAAGACAAAAATTACGTAATCAAATGAAATAGGAAATAAAGACATCCAGTTACCATGTCAAGTAAAGCCTGGTAACTCCTTCATTCTGAACGCATGAATTGGGTTTTAGGAGTTTGATGATGGTGACTGAAGCAGTCGTCAAACCTGAGGAGAATTGAGCTATTTTGCTTATTGATAATTTTAAGAGATTTTGCAATGCCCACTTCATTATGTCTATTCATGGGATGTCCGGGAACAGCATTATTTAAAGCATTTGTCCCCTTGAGACGTAAGCATTTTGGTACATGTTGAGAAAATCGGAGATGTGCCCATTTTCCTGTTCTTCCATTGTAACTGCTACCACAAATGCATGCGAATTCGTGTATTATTATTATTATTTCCTTTAATTCCTAGAGGAACATAAAGCTTCATCCATGCGTCTCCATTGCGTTCCGTTCTCTGGTAGAGTTTTCATCTGACTCCAAGTCTGCCCACATGCTTTCATCTCCTCTTCACATGACCTCATCCAAGTCACCCTTGCAATGACGACCAACTCGCCACTTCCCTTTCGGGTTCCACTCGAGCAACGGCTTGTCTAGTGATGCCACTTGACGGTTTGTTTTCTCAGAGTATGGCCAATCCACATCCATTTCTTCTTGCCTATTTGTTTCACAGTCGGTTCCTAGTTGGTTCGCTCCCAGAAGTCCTTGTTGCTGATCTTTTCTGGTCGACCATCTGATCTTGAGTATTGAGAGAAGACAACTGTTGATGAAGGTCTGTAGTTTGTTTGAGATGCTCTTTATGACGCACCAAGTCTCTGATCCGTATAGTGAGTAGCACTGACTGACTTCACATTGGAGTTGAAAATCCGGATGTTATTTTTGATTCTGAGTGCTGTTGACCTCCACACAGACTTAAGAGTAATGAAAGCTTGTCTTGCTTTTCCGATTCTGGCTTTGATGTCCTCGTCAGTTCCGCCTGGCTGTAGTTGAAACGATGCTTCCGAGGTAGGTAAAGGAGGTTGTTTCTTTCAGGTTCCTCCCATTCACGCTTATTGTTGCTTATGTTGTTAACTGCTACCACAAACGTATGCAAATTTGTGTACACAGTTATAGTTAACATGAGAAAAGCAATTTGATTTTACCAAAGAGTATATTGTCTGATGAACGGGGAACAACTTAGCTGGAGGATAGTTTCTGGCTAATGAGATATTCAATATTCTGTTAACTATTCCTGCATTATTATCACCTTTAAAATCGACTAGAATGAAGATAGGCTGCTTTTTTCCACTGTGATTTGTTTGACATCTAAGCCTTCACATCTATAAGGATAACTGTTGTTTTTTCAACATATTTTGAGGAATCATAAATTCTTCCTCTAATTTGTCTGTAGAGCATATTATCCTGACCCTATGAAGGGAAATTTTGACTAGTGCTCTTTTGCAGCCATCTGAACGAAAACTATCAAAATGTAATTTTCTGAGCATGTGCAAAAATGTTAAAGTTGTTCTGTACATGAACTTAATAATGATTTCCTTAGGCTGTAGGTAGCTGATGAGAAACCAACGAAATAGACAATGATGGTACCATCATATTCTGTACAAAGTGTCATTCTGTAATTCCTAGCAAACATTATTTATAAATGAATGACGTGGGTCCAATCTCAAAGGGGATATCAGTTCCTTGGTGATAAGTGTCTTCAGTAAGCACTAAACCTTAGTTCATGGCTTCCTACCAATCGTCTCCATCCATTTAACCCTAACCAAATTATCGAATCGCCTATCTTGGTGATGCATATAGCAAACTTGACCGATAGAATTCAGCTAACACACAACCTCAGAGACTGTAGACATCATATACTGGGTATGTACTGCCGATGAGTCCCATACTAGGACAAAATAGTTGTCCAGTAATCCCTGATGGCTTTCCATGATTCTTTAACTGACATCAATCCGTGATAGAACTTAAAACAAATCAAGTTCCTACATACCGACTCTTAGTAAAAATAATGTGATGCTTGCTAGTGATTGGCTGCGCAGGACGAAGTTGCCTGGAGTTCTAGGGTGGGGGAAGTCGTGACCAGTGGAGGCTAGGGTGGCATATATCAACTTGAGCCACCTCTGGCGCCGTCGCGACGTTAACCTGGCTGTCAAAGGTTGGGCATACATTGCTTCGGTGCAGGCTGTCTTTCTCTACGCCTGTGAAACCTGGCCTCTCCGAGCAGGTTGAGGATGTGCGGCGACTCTGCGTGTTCGATCATCGCCGTCTCCGCAGGATTGCTTGCGTTCGATGATATCATCGCGTGAGTAATTCTGAGGTTCGGCGGCGTGTGTTTGAACACAGTGGAGATCACCATTCATTGAGTGTCATTATCTGAAAACACTGGCTCCGGTGGCTTGGACGTGTGCGCGAATGTCATCCGAGAGGCTTCCGTACAGGTCTTTGTTTGTCAGCCAGTCCTGGGACGGGATGGAAAGACGGAGGGGTGGTCAGTCCATGACGTGGAGTCGTGGGATGAAGGAGTTTTGGGCTAGATTAGCATCGGTTGGTGTGTCACGACTCCCTGGTTGGGTCCGCGAGATAGCTCAGATCGATGGCCCGAAACGTTATCGGATATGGCCAAGAATCGTAATCAGTGGCGAATGTGTTGCAATTTCCTTCTTTCTTCCCTTCCCGATGATAGTTAACGAATACTGTTTGAACTTGTTAAGCATGACTGTTTTCCCTCCAATGAAGTTTTTATCCGTTCTCTACTTATATAAATATATATTACTTTTGATCTATGTTGTTTTATTATTATTGTGTGGCGCATCTTTCTTGGTGCCATATTGTACCAAGTTTTTTTTGCGTTTAAATAATAATAATAATGATAATGCAAGAGTCGGGAAAATACTCTCCGATGATATTAGTTGGTGGTTGCGCTTAGATCAAAAGTTGGAAGGAGTTAGAATTCATGGATTCGCCATTGATTGGGTTCCCAGTGACTGGGGAGTGGTTTACAAGCTTGACTTGTATCTGGAAGG